TGAGGATCTGGTCTTTGGAGGTAAACGGCGAAACTTTTCTAAAGAGCCAGAGCTCAGAGCCCGGAAGCATTTCCTCTCATGCAACAGATGATCCCCAAGGACTGAGTCAGGGGAGTTTGTCAAAGCCCTTTCAGGCTGGGGCTTCTAGCAGCCACTAGAAAGTTGGCTCCTTTGGGGGGAAAGGGGAGAAATGCTACAGCTTCTCCACAGTCGGCTTTTCTAGCTGAGCAATGAGTTGGAACCTGATCCCTGTGTGTGTGAGCACAGAGGCACCAGGTCCTGACACTGCAGGTTATCACCTCCTACTACGCTGCGTCCCCGTTACCCAGGGAGCCTGCAGCGCCGACTCCTTTTCTACTAGAGAAGTGTTCACACGCTAAGCACCTGACTGGCTCTGTGACTCGTGCCGAAACTGGGGATCCCGAGCAGAACTGTGTTAGGAAGGCTGGGTGTGTAGCCCCTCCATGCAGTCTGTGTTAGAGATTCGGGGTCAGACAAACCTAATGTCTCCATGGGCCTTTGCCTAGTGCCAGGGACCTGTTTTAGTGCCCAGATCAGAGTGTTCTGCGCTGGTTTCCCCTGGAAATAGAACTAAAGCAGAGCTTCCAGTCCAGTGCTAAGCACCCTTGAATTGTAGGGTGAGGAAGGAGGTTTTTGAATTAAAACCCACAGAGCTGAACCCCTACCCTCTGCAGTTTGTGTCTGGATCAGATCCAAAACTGGAAGGGGCCTATACTTCCAATCTATGTCTGATGCGACCCAGAAGGCTGGGGTGAGGGGGGTTGTTTTGCAAGGTCAGCTGATCTGTTACCAGGATACTGGTGCTATAGATTAATTGCTTGGACTTCTCTCTCCTTTGCTGTTCTGGTTGACGTAATGGGCACCACGAGCAATAGGATGGGGTTTGGGCCTCTCAGTGTCATTCAGCTCCGGTGTGGGATGAGAGCTGGGGTAGAGTCAGAGAAGGCGCGTGGATGTTCTGCTCTGGGAGGTCAGCGCTGGTGTTTCTGCGGGAGCAGGGCAAGTTGCTTGGTGGCTCTGACTGTGACGGAGCGCTACGGTGGGAATCTCCATTTCTCTGTGTTCTTGGCATTGCTACCTGCTGCAGAGCTGAGAGCAGCCTGTGTTTGCCTCGGGGTACGTCTCCCCTGCGGACGGTAGCGTGATCTGCCCAGGTATACCTGTATTAGCTCTCATCTAGCTAGCATAGCTCAAAATAGTGGTGAAGACGTGATGGCGCAGACCCTGGCATGGGCTGTACAAGCCCTCCCAGAAACCTGGGTATGTACTGGTATTGCTGACTCGCATCGGTGTCCATGCGGTTGCATCTTCACTGCTATTTTTATCCACGTTCGTTAGAGTGAAGCTAGTGTGGGTATGCAGACACGAGCTGCATCGCTCAATTGCAGTGTAGACGTACCCTCGTTAGAGGAGTGATAAGAACAGGTGCTAGCCACGCCCACTCAGTATGGCACTCTGTCCCCCTCTAGTGGTGGCTGGGCCACATATAGCGCTTTGGCTAACCAATGTGGGTCTTGTCTCTCGGGCCGTAGAAGCTCAGGGTTTAAGACCCGGGTTGGGTCCCTGATGACGATGATTCAGGAGCTTTGCATTACACAGACTTGGGTTGGAGGCATTTCGCCATTCTTGTACTCCTAACTTGATTGAACAGGTCAAACCTAAATACAGCCGCAGCCCTGGCACCCTGACTCTGGTGCCGACTGCTGCTGGGTAGCCCTAAGAGGGAGGAGAAGATGTTAGATGCTGTTTCTGTGGCATGAACTATTCGATCCTTGGCAGCCCCTTTTCTCTGCTAGTGTAGACCAAGCACAGGAATAGCATTAGCAAATTAATGCTCCATCTAGTCTGGCATCCTGTTTCCAACAGCGGCCAGTATGAGCTACTCGAGAGGAAGGTGCAAATACCTTTTCCTAGGCAGTTATGGAATAACCTGTCCATTGGGCGGGGGGGGGAGGATCTTCCTTCCTGACCCCTATTAGTTGGTTTATGCCCTGAAGCATGAAGGTTTATATAGAGTCAGATGTACAGCCTGTTGTGCTGCTTCTGATGTCCCCAGAGGGTTCCTTTCCTGCTTCACAAGATTCCCCACTGGGGTCTTAGCGCTTGAGAGGGTGTTGGTGGGCGCTGCTGCTTCAGAACTGCCTCCCACTGCTGTACACTCCTCTTACAGCTCTTGTATGGCGAGGAATATGCTGTTCCTGGTGTCTTGATGCAAATACCCACATGGGCATTCCAGCTTCTCTCCAGCAAGTACTAGAATTCCTCCTGTGCAGCTGAATGATCCAGATGCAATGGGGCAGATCCCCCTGCCTGGTGCAATAGTATTGAAATCAGTGGAATTGCACTAGGGATGCCTTTGCCCCCCTCTTTACACCCACATTCTTCCATCCTTTGGTGACTTGCAGCGGTTTCTCATTCCTCCCCGGTTCCCTCTCTCTCTCTCGGTCTGTTCCCTGACACCAATTGCCATAGCATCCTTCAGTTTACACCTGAAATTACAAGTGTCCTCTGCCAGATGCCGCTGCTAACTGGTAACGAGTCCCCTCCTTCCCCTCACCGAAATATCCCACCCCACCCTTCTTTCCCTCCTCTCCCTGGCTGGAATAGTTGCAGCTGGAGCCAGGGGCTATAAATCTCCCCAGACTGTCAGTTTCATGGCAACAGGAGGCTGGAGGAGAAAAGCTGGATGACCGAAAAAGGTATTGTTAAGTAAAAGGGAGCACAGGCGTGCATGTCTGCAGCGGTGCCGAGCACATCCAATTGTGTAACATGGAGTGGTCCTTTTTTGGAACCGCAGGGAGAAGCGGGGTGGGGGTGGGGGGCAGCTGGGAGTTGAGACGACCCCGAGCCAAGAAAAGATTCCAGTTTGTACAGCCCTCTCTGCTCGCTCAGCTTGCGTCTGAAAACAAACCCTCAGCCCCGCTCCAAATCTGTGCCCCTCATTTATTAAACTGTCTCTTTCCTCCCTTGGGTCAGCAAAAAATGTTCCTAGCCCTAGGGGAGGAAACAGGGCTGTGGTCCTCCCTGTCGGAGTGAATTCAGAGTCTGCATAGGGGCCTGTCTGCAAACGGAGATGGGGCTATTCTTGGCTTCTGGGGTATCGCTGCAGGAACTAGAAGCATTTAGACAGTCCAAGTCCCTTTTTGAGTGGGTGAGTCAGTGCAGTGATATAAATACAGGCCGAACACACAGTGGCTGCATCCCCGCATCCTGCCCTCAAGCTGTCCCCTTTGGCAGCAGTTGCCACTGTGTCAAAGGGACAGGCACCCCGGTGCCACGGTGATGGGCACAGCGAGACAGCCTAGATCCGGGGCGCTCTCAGGGTTCCATCTTAGGATCTTAGCCAGTGGGAGAAG